CACACTGAAAAAAAGAGGAGAGGCTAGAGACACAATCTTTTCATAAACCTCAGCCCTCGCATGGCAATGCACAACCAGAAGAAACTCCCTTCTGGCATCTCTCTGAGGAGCAAAGAGCTTGGACCCTGCATCTGGTGTCCCAACTTTTAAGACTTCTGTCTGAAAGATGATCCCTCAAAACATCTAGCTTTGAAAGCCATTGGGGATTGTATCTACCAAATCCATCTATCAATCCTTGCTATAGCAAGGCTATAGCAAACTTAGAGACCATATTTCAAGGACCCAAGTGGATTCACCACAGTGAACACCCAGGACCCAGTGCAGAGGCAGAAGAGTACAACACACGCAGTCGTTCCATGAAAGAGGCTTACTTATGGAGGACAAGGGGAGTTAGAGAGGAGAAGGGAGTTGAGGGAAATTGGAAGGGGAGGTGAACCATGAGAGACTATGGACTCTGAAAAACAATCTGAGGGTTTTGAAGGGGCGGGGGGTGGGAGGTTGGGGGAGCCAGGTGGTGGGTATTAGAGAGGGCATGGATTGCATGGAGCACTGGGTGTGGTGCAAAAACAATGAATACTGTTACACTGAAAAGAAATAAAAAAATTTTAAAAAAATAAATAAAATTAAATCAAATTAAAAAAAAAAAGGAAGAGGCTTACTTGTTTATCTTAATAGCTGCAGCTAGAGGGACAGTCTTCAAACTTAACATACATCTAGGGGCCAACTGCAATACTCTCCAAAGAGCACAGTGGCTGGTGGGTGCCATCTTTATGTTCTCCCTCTGCCTTGCTCCAGGTTAACAGTATTTCCTAGAAGGGATTCTGAGCACATGTTTGCTGCCCTGGTTTTTGTAGCTGCTGCCCAGGGCATGCCCCTTGATTGCCTGGCTCTGGTGGCTAATGGGGCCTAAATTCATGCATCTCACAGGACAATAACAGAGAAACATTTCTTAACTGACTATTCCCCTAAAGCATAGCATAGAGTGAGCAGACAGAAATACTTAGTCTCTCTGTGAAAGAGGACTATTTGCTTATCTTAAAAGCTACAGCTTATCTTAAAAACTTAAAGAGGCAGACTTTTAATTTAACCCATGTCTAGAGGCCAAGTGCAATCCTCTCCAGAGACCAGGAGGGCCAGTGGGAACCATCTTCATTCTCTCCCTCTGCCTTAATCCGGGTTGCTGTTGTCTCCAAGAAGGAGTTTGTACACACATCTGGTAACCTGGCTTTTGTGGCTGCTACCTGGAAGACACATCCCTTGATTACCAGAGCCTGGCTCTGGTAACTAGCAGGTTAGTGTTCACAGGTTCAACAAAATGGGAGTAAACAAATATATAGCTTATAACTGGTTATAGCCTTAGGGCTCAGTGCAGAGGGAGAAAGAGAGAAACATCCATTTCCCAGTCTTCCCTTGAAAGAGGTATATTTGCATACTTTAAAAGCAGCTGAGGATCTGACTTCTTATTAGCCTGCACCTAGCTGCTGAGAGCCCTCTCTCTTTTGCACACTGATAGGTCTTGATGCACCCTCAACTACTGGAGCCACTAAGAACAATCCTGCTTAGACAATCACAAAGGTTTGAGAGACAACAAGAGCTAGGGCAGAATTGAATAATAAGGTTCAGTTCCTACACCATACCACTCTTTCAAGACTCAGAGAGAACGGTATGGAAATCAACACAGAGCGTCAAGGAAAATGAAGAAATAGAGGAATATGTTTGAAATGTCAGAACAAAACAAAACCTCAGAGAAATACCTTAATGAAAAGGAGATAAGTGATTTACCTAATAAAGAGTTGAAGAGAATGACAATGAAAATGCTCACCAAGATCAGGAAAACAATGAATGAACAAAGTAAGAATTTCAACAAAGAGACAGAAAATACAAGAAAGTACGAAACAAAAATTACAGACTGGAATAATACAACAAATGAGCTGAAAAAATTGAATATAGGGGTCCAACAGCAGACTAGATAAAGCTAACACAGGACAAGGAAACTTGAAGACAGGGCAGTGGAATTCATTTAATCAGAAGAGTAAAAAGAATAAAAAATAGTGAAGATTACTTAAGGAACTTATTGGGCCACATTAAGTGGACAAATATGCACTTTACAGGGGTTCCAGAAAGAGAGAAGAGAGGGAAAGGGGTAGAAAACTTATCTGAAGAAATAATGGTTGAAAACTTCCCTAACCTGGTGAATGAAGCAGACATCCAGATCCAGGAAACTTAGAAAGTTTCAAAGAAGATGAATCCAAAGAGACCCATACCAAGACACATTATCAAAAGCTAAAGACAAGGAGATACTCTTAAAAGCAGCAAGAGGAAAACAACTTGTTACTTACAAGGGAACCCCCCATTAGACTACTTTGCAGGCCAGAAGAAAGTGACACAATGTATTCAAAGTACTAAAAGAAAAAAAAAAGTATTACCAAGAATATTCTATCCAGCAAAGTTAGTGTTTAGAATTGAGTTAAAGGGTTTTCCAGACAAACAACACCTGAAAGAGTTTAGCACCACTAGACTCGCCTTAAAATAAATGTTAATGGGACTTCTTTGAGCTGATATGAAAGAGTGCTAATTATTAACAGGAAAATATATGAAAGCACCAATCTCACTGGTGAAGGTAAATATACAGTTAAAGTCAGAATAATCTAATGTAATGGTGGTGTGTTAATCACTTACAGATCTAATATAAAGGCTAAAAGACAAAAGCAACAAAAATATAATAATTTTTAATGGATACACAAGACAAAAGGTGTAAACTGTGACATTGAAAACACAAAATGTGGTGGTGGGAGAGTAAAAATGTAGAGCTTTAGAATGTGTTCAAACTAAAGTGGTTATCAACTCAAAGTAGACTATTATGTTTTATATAAGCTTTATCATAAACACAAAGCAAAGCCCTGCAGAATATATACAAAAATAAAGAGAAAAGAATCTAAGTATGCCACTACAGAAAATCTTTAAATTACAAAGGGAGAGAGCAAGAGAAAAAGAAACAGAATGATAAAACGGCCAGAAAACAATTAACAAAATGGCAATAAGGCTACACCTATAAATAATTACTTTAAATGTAAATGGACTAAGTTCTCCAATGAAAAGACAGAGAGTGGCTGAATGGATAAAAAACAAGACCCACCTATATGCTGCCTACAAGAGACTCACTTCAAGGATACACAGACTGAAAGTGAAGGGATTAAAAAAGATATTCCATCCACATAGAAACCAAGAGAAAGCTGAAAAAAAATTCCATCGTGTGAATATGTGTGTTTATATATGTGTATGTACACACAGACACACACACACACACACACACACACACACTTTATCCATCAACAAACATTTAGGTTCTTTCCATATCTTGGTTATTGTGAACAGTGCTGCAATAAACATGGGAATACAGCTATCTCTTCATGGTACTGATTTAATTTCCTTTGGGTGTATACCCAATAGTAGGATTGCTGGACCATATGGTAGTTGTATTTATTATCTTTTTGAGGCACCTCTCTACGGTTTTCCATAATGGCTGTAACAATTTACATTCCCATGAACAGTGTACAATAATTTATTTTTCTTTCCATCCTCACTAACATATGTTGTTTTTTGTCTTTTTGATAATAGACAGTATAACAGGTGTGGGGTGATTTCTCTTTGTGGTTTTGATTTGAATTTTCCTGATAATTAGTGATGTTTTCATGTATCTGTTGGCCATTTGCATGTCTTCTTTTGAGAAATGCCTATTCATGTCCTATTCCCACTTTTTAATCAGGTATATATGTTTGTACGTATGTATGTTTGTATCTACTGTGGAATTGTAGAAGTTCCTTATATATTTTGGATATTAACTCTTCATTAGATATATGGTTGCAACTATTTTCTCCCATTCTGTAGGTTGCCCTTTTACTCTCTTGTTTCCTTTGCTGTGCAGAAGCTTTTTATTTTTACTTAAAAAAAAAAAAAAAAAAAAGATTTCTGAGAGAAAGAGAGAGGAAGGACAGAGGGAGAGGAAAGAGAATTTCAAGCAGACTCCCTGCTGAGAATGGAGCTGGGTTTGGAATTTGATCCCATGACCCTGAGATCATGACCTGAGCTGAAATCAAGAGTCAGATGCTTAACTGACTGAGCTACCCAGGCATCACTTTACCATAATTTTTTTAAAAGCACAAATAAAGAATCTAAGATTGGTATTAAAGTTGTTATGGACTAATGCTGTCTAGCATGTCTGGTGATAGCTCTTCCTTCCACTGTTACCTTGAAGATTTAAATATTTATATTTATAAATAGTTACAGCTAGTAATTTATTATAATTGTTTATCTTGATTCATCTACTAGATTGACTTTTATTTGAGGGCAGTGGCAACATCCTAATCTTAGTGTCAGTCAAGAGGATAAAGCTCTAGAGATTATGCCTGCTTTGATTAATAAAGTATTTAAAAATATTCCACTTTTATCTCACTGCATCACTTCTTTCACTTGGTAGATCCTAGGCCTTCCTCCTTTTGAATCTTCCAGATTGATAGGTCTCCAGATACTTGCTGAAGCTCTGATTTTTGCTCAGGGCCACTGGGTGGGCATGGGATTATGCCCATCATCCCACTGGGGAATTAGCCATTAACAAGCTATTAGGAAGCAACTCACTGCACACTAGATCACAGGATGTACATGTAAGATGATCTTTCCTCCAACTCATGCCAAAGCCTATGCCAGTTTTTACTCTTTGACTTAGGATGGAATTACTTTTGCACTCATCCCTTAGTCTCTGTCAGCCTGAGTGATCACAGAGGGGTCCAAATAATACATCATGTACCTTCTGGGTTCCTGAGAGGTTGCCTTTATTCCCATACTGATGTGAAGAAAGCCATTCCTTTAGCAGGGAGTACTATGAAGGGTTAGGATGAGAAACCCTATAACATCAGAGAACAACTAGTTTCAGTTCCCAAACAACAATAACTCCCTTGCCCATTCCCTTGAGAGATTCTTTATGGAAAATGCTAGATGAGAGTGATCCTCCTGAGAGCCTCAATGGCCCTTCTGCTCCTTTCTTAACAAGTCACCACCATTACCACTCTTAGGCACAGAAACAAAAAGGAAGAGGAAGGCAACATGTAGCTAATTCTTCTTTGAAACCAGCCCAGCGGAGAACATGCTGGATGTGGGAGAAAACATGGTAAGAGAGGATTCTTGGGAGGGTTTACTTTTGGGGATATTTTCAGGTTCTATTTCAGACTGAGAGGTCTCTATGGAAGAAACTGCTGGTTTATTCATCTTCAGGGGAGGCAATGCAGTTTGGAGAGTATACTTTCTGGCATCATCCCACGTGGGTTCAAATGACTTCTTGGTGGATGCCAGCTGTCTAACAACATCCTCATGAGGCATCAGTGGTTTGATGGCTTCCCTGACTTGCTCTGGTTCACTGGCTTTTTTCTTGGGGACTACCAAAAGATGGTGAGAGCCTGGATGTTTCCTTGTGCTCTTGGTTAAAGCTGGGTAGAGGGATGCTAGAGTCCAAGGACTTTCCACAACTCGGAAAGGAGAATTTATGAATAAATTCGAAGATTCTTGACTCCCAAGTTCTCTCTTTTGGTGGCTAACACTCTGAGAATCTGTAGGATAGAAACAACAAAAACACAGATTCCTCAAATGTCACTTCTCCAATCTTTGCTGGTCATGTGGTGAAATTTTATCATCCTTAAAATGTTAGTCCCTCACACACCATCCCAGGTTTTTTCCCCCCTTAGTTTTCCCTATCCCAAACTTTGTGCAGCTTTTATTATGGTCTTCCAATTCAGCATGGTCCCTGAGTTTAAGAGTCTATCTTGTGAGACTTTAGGTCACTATGGAAGCCTTCAGAAGGCAGGAATTGACATCTGCTTAAAGTTCATGCATTTCACAACCGCTGTTTTCCTAATCAATTTGAACAGACAAGTGAAAACATCCTCAATTAGAATGGGAACTTTTTAAGGGTGGAGAATGTGTCTTGTTTGCTACTACATATGCTGTGCTCAGAAATGTCTGTCACATAATAAGTGCTCAAAAACGAATATTAATCTGACAGAAAAAATAAATGGAGACTACTTTTTATAATGGAGCTAGGAAACAGAATCTTACCAAAGACAAATTAAAAACTGGATAATAATTAAAACCAAGAAAACATCTTAAAATCATCTAAGATTTTACAAAATGGTGAGGAACTGCGGGGCCAAAATCTAGAAGACAGTGAGAATCCAAAGTAAGCCCAGAATTCAGTTGTTTTTGCCCTTGGTGTAATGTCAATCTTGAAGAAATGGCTGCTTACGTGAACTTCATTTCTGTCAGCTTCACAGGAAGAAGGGATTTTAACAGCACTTTACTTGAATTTTTGGTCAATTTCATGACAACTAATATCTAGGATATCAGGTTTTCTAATTCATGAATGTGACATACTAGTCCATTTATTTGTGCCTTCTCTCAGTAAACTTTTGCAGCTTTCAGAGACAACCATATCTTCTCTGTGAGAGCTTGCAACATTTGCCTTAAATCTAATTCCTATTTTGCTTTTATGGTGCTATTTAAATTTTCTTAAGTTTCCAATTATTCATTGCTAATATACAGACATAAAACTGATTTTTCTGTGTATTGACCTTGTATCCTGAGACACTGTTTAGCTCACTTATCAGTTCTAGTAGGTATGTTTGTTGATTCCTTAGAATTTTTATAAAATTTTAATTTCAGTGTAGTTAACGTATAGTGTTATATACATTGCAGGTACATAATACTGATTCAGTAATTCCATCTACTACTCAATGCTCATGAAGAGAAATGTACTCTCAATCCCCTTCACCTATTTCACCCAACTCCCTAACTACCTCCCCTCTGGAAACTGTCTGTTTGTTCTCTGTAGTTAAGAGTCTGTTTATTGGTTTGTTTCTTTCTTTTACCCTTGTTCATTTGTTCTGTTTCTTAAATTCCATGAGTGAAATCATATGGTACTTGTCTTTGAGTGACTTCACTTAACATTATACTCTCTAGATCTATCCACATTGTTGCAAATGGCAAAATTTCATTTTTATGGCTGGATAATATTCTATTCTGTGTGTGTGTGTGTGTGTCTGTATCTACATCTATATCTGTGTGTATCTTTATCCATTCAGCTACAGACGGACACCAGGGTTGTTTCCATAATTTGCCTATTGTAAATAATGCTGCAATAAGCATACAGGTGCAGGTATTCTTTAAAATGAGTGTTTTTTAAAATTCTTCGGGTAAATACCCACTAGGTCAATTACTGAATCATAGGGTAGTTCTATTTTCACATTTTTTTGAGGAACTTCCACAGTTTTCCACAGTGGTTACACCAGTTTGCATTCCCGCAGCAGTGCTTGAACGTTCTTCTTTCCCCACATCCTTGCCAATACTTGCCATTTCATGTGTTTTTTATTTTAGCAACTCTGACTGGTGTGACTTGTGGTTTTGATTTGCATTTTCCTGATGATGAGTGATGTTGAACATCTTTTCATGTGTCTGTTGGCCATCCGTGTGTCTTCTTTGCATACATGTCTTCTCATGTCTTCTGTCAATACTTAAATTGGACTGTTTATTTTTGGGGTATTGAGTTGTATAAGTTCTTTATATATCTTGGATACTAGCCCTTTATCAGTTATTTCATTTGCAAATATCTTCTTCCATTATGTCAGTTGCGTTTTAGTTTTGTTGACTGTTTCCTTTTTAGTGCAGAGGCTTTTTATTTTTGCTTTTATTTTCCTTGACTCAGGAGACATATCTAGAAAGATGTTGCTACAACTGACATTGAAGAAATGACTACCTGTGCCCTTTTTTTTTTTTTTTTTAGGATTTTTATGGTTTAAGTTCTCACATTTAGATCCTTAATCAATTTTGACTCATTTTTGTGTATGGCATAAGAAAGTGGTCTAGTTTCATTCTTTTGCATGTTGCTGTACAGATTTCCCAGCACACCTTAGTGAAGAAAGTGAAGACACTATCCTTATCTCATTGCATATTGTTTCCTCCTTTGTCAAAGATCAACTGCCCATATAGTTGTGGGTATATTTCTGGTTTTTTTTTTTTTTTTCTGTGCTATTGATCTATGTACCCTTTTTGTGCTGGTACCATGCTGTTTTGCTTACTACAGCTTTGTAATATAACCTTAATCCCAGAATCGTGATGCCTCTAGCTTTGCTTTTCAAGATTACTTTGGCTACTGGGAGTCCTTTGTGGTTCCATACAAATTCTAGAATTGTTCTAGTTCTGTGAAAAAATGTTGTTGGTATTTTGATAGGAAGTGCACTAAATGTGTAGATTGCTTTGGGTAGTATAGTCATTTTAGCAGTATTTTTTTCCTTCCAATCCATGAGCATGAGCTGTCTTTCCATTTCTTTGTGTTGTCTTCAATTTCTTTTATCAGTGTTATATAGCTTTCAGAGTATGGGTTTTTCATCTCTTTGGTTAGGGTTATTCCTAGATATCCTATTATTTTTGGTGCAACTGCAATTGGGACTGTTTTCTTGATTTCTCTTTCTGCTGCTTCATTATTAGTATATAGAAATGCAACATATTTCTGTACATTGATTTTTGTATCCTGTAACTTTACTGAATGTGTTTATCAGTTCTAACAATTTTTTTGTGGAACGTTTCAGCTTTTTTATATATAGTAACGTCATCTGAAAATAAAATTTTACTTCTTCCTTACTGATTTAGATGACTTCCTTTTCTTTTCTTTTCTTTATTTTTTGCCATCTATGGCTGTGGCTAGGAGTTCCAATACTATATCGAATAAAAGTGGTGAGAGTGGACATCCTTGTTTTGTTCCTGACCTTAGAGGGAAAGCTCTGTTTTTCCTCATTAAGGATGTTAGCTGTGGGGTTCCCATATATGGTCTTTATTATGTTGAGGTATGTTCCTTCTAAACCTACTTTGTTGAGGTTGTTGTTGTTTTTTTTTAATCATGAATGGATGTTGTACTTTGTCAAATGCTTTTTCTGCATCTCTTGATAGGATCAAATGGTTCTTATCCTCTTACTGAGGTGATGTATGATACTGATGGATTTGTGAATTTTGAACCACTCCTTGCAGCCCAGAAATAAATCCCACTTGTTTGTAGTGAATGATTTTCTTTTTAAATGTATTGTTGGGGTCCCTGGGTGGCTCAGTTGGTTAAGCATCTGCCTTTGGCTCAGGTCATGATCCCAGAGTCCTATGATCAAGCCCACTTGTGCTTTCTGTTGCTATCTCTGTCTCTCAAATAAAACAAAATCTTTTAAAAAAATGTTTGATAGAATTCACCTGTACAGCTGTCTATCTGGTCCTGGACTTTTGTTTGTTGGGAGTTGTTTTTGTTATTTGTTTTTTAATTATTACTGATTCAATTTCATTGCTATAATCAGTTTGTTCAAATTTTTTATTTTTCCTGCTTTGGTTGTGGTAGGTTATATGTTTCTAGGAATTTATCCATTTCTTCTAGGTTGTCCAGTTTTTTGGCATATAATTTCTTTATATATTCTCTTACAACCGTTTGTATTACTGTGGTGTGGGTTATTCTCTATAATTTCTGATTTGAGTCCCCTCTTTCTTTTTTAAAATGAGTCTGGCTAGAGGTTTATCAGTTTTGTCAATCTTTTCAAAGAACCAGCTCCTGGCTTCATTGATCTATTCTGTTTCAGTTTCTGTATTATCTATTTCTGCTCCAATCTTTATTATTTCCTCCCTTCTGCTGGTTTTGGGCTTTGTTCTTTTCTAGCTCCTTTAGGTGTATGGTTAGATTGATGAGATTTTTCTTGCTTCTTGGGGTAGACTTGTATTGATATAAACTTCTTATAACCACTTTTGTCACATCTCAAAAGATTTTGGATTACTGTGTTTTTTATTTTCATTTGTCTCCATGTATTTCTGATTTCTAGGTTAACCCATTCATTATTTACTAGCATATTATTTAACTCCCATGTATTTGTGTTCTTTCCAGCTCTTTTCTTGTGGTTGATTTCTAGTTTCATAGCTCTGTGGTCAGAAAAGATACATGATATAAATTCTTTTTTAAATTGTTGTGACTTGTTTTGTGACTTAATAGCTGATCTTTCCTGCAGAATGTTCCATATGCACTTGAGATGAATTTATATTCTACTGTTTTAGGATGGAATGTTCTATATCTATGAAATCCATCAGATCCAGTGTGTCATTCAAAGCCACTGTTTCCTTGTTGATTTTCTGTTTAGATGACCTGTCCAGTGATGTAAGTAGGGTGTTAAAGTCCCCTATATTTCTGTATCATTAGAGATTAGTTCCTTTATATTTTCTATTAACTGGTTTATGTATTTGGATGTTCCCATGTTGGATCCATAAATTTTTACAACTGTTATGTCTTCTTATTGTATTGTCCCCATTTTTTTAAATTTTATTTTTTTTCAGTGTTCCGAATGTACTGTTCCCTTAATAATTATAGAGTGTCCTTCTTTGTCTCTTGTTACAGTCTGTTTTAAAGTCAATTTTGTCTGATATAAGTATTGCTACTTCAGCTTTCTCTTCACATTTATTTGCATGATAACTGTTTTTCCATCTCCTCATATACAATAGGAATGTGTCTTTAGGTCGTAAGTCTCTTGTAGGAAGCTTA